CAGCTCAGCACAAGAGGTTCAAACACCAAGTAACTCCTGTCAGCATCCCTCTGTGACTGGCAGAGTCAGCCACAGTGACTGCACTCTTCCTTCCTTCCATCATCAAGTGCCTCATCTCATCTCCTGCACGCCAGGGAGAGGAGAGGGCTTGGGAGAGAGACACAGAGAGACACACACACAGAGGGCTCTGGCTGCAGCGACTTGCCACAGGCCATTAAAATGCATATTTGCTCCTCTCCCAGTCCCTCTTTTTTTTAAATCCCCAGCAGAAGTTATTATGTAGCATCAGCCACAAATGGTGACATTTTTTGACAATCTTCCTGGCTGTGCTGCATTTCCTACACACATGGCTGAACACAAGCTCTGATGCAGTTCTGCCACTGACAAGTGCACTGGGTTTCAGTGCAGCTCTGAGAACTAATCCCTTGGGCCTACCTCCATTTTTAAACACATGGGTAAGAAGCCAAATTAAAACTGGAATAATCTAGAGCGGGTCTATCTGTATTTTACTTTTGTTTACCGGTTGTAGAGAAGGATATTTGGTTATACACATATCACCGATCTACTTTTTCACATTCTTTCATGCATTACATTAATTAACAATTATTAGAAGTTCTATGATTCTATAGCTTGCTTTTTTAAATCCAAAGATACCTATTTTAGTGTTCATGTGCACCATCTGGCAACCTTGTATCAGCATTTGGCTTGCTACAAGGCACTAAAAGGTACCAATTTTCACTGTTTTGCAGTGTCAGTGTGAGGAGCAGAGATTTTATTTGGCTTTACAGGCACATTTGTAAGTCACTGAGGAGATTTTAGACCAGGAAGAGCCTTTTCTTCAGCTGGATATTCTGGGACATCTGTATTGGAACCAGTGGAACACTTCAATAACAGCAGAATTTGCCCAGGAGGAAATCTACAACAAAGTGTGCCATGTTCCAAAGTTACAAAGATTGTGAATAACCAGTACAAAAGCTCTTAAACTACATTACTTTTTTAGGTAGCACTTTGTGTTGTTCATTATATTTCATTAACCAAATTACATCATTTCAGTCAATGAATTGCTCTTGAGAGAAAAAACTACAAATTCCCTATTAATACAAATGCTGGCATCACTCTGATACCAGACATCTCTAAAGGCATCTCTGGTTGAGATGCTGAGTTAGTGAAGCCCACACCACAGTATCACCTAAAATAAATGCTGAAATTTCTACAGCCATGTGCCACCTTCCCAGGTCCCACATAAGGTTGCTTCCAGTGCCTAAAGGGAGCTTACAAAAAAGCTGTATTGTATTTCTAGCTTTCCAGTGAGGCTTGCACAAGTTTGTGTTTGCAATCAGAAAATCTTCTATAAAACACAGCTGAGTCAAAAAGTTACACAAGCTGAAAATAATGCAGATTAATGTATTTACAGTTTATCATAGTTGTACTTAAAATTTATTGCACTCATCCAGGGGAGATGATAGTTTATGAAATGCAGATGTCTTGAAAACAGGGCAATTCCAAATGTTACAGGTAAAAGCACTGTGAGTTATTTACAGACAAAATATTATTATCTATAAAAGGCAAAAGGTACATTTCCATTTGTCTGTTAGTTTGGCTGAGGAGAATGTTTTTGAGCTGCATCTCCTTAGTTTTCCCATTTTTTGCAGTGTGGTTCACATTGCTGAGCAGTCCTGGAGCACTTGAGCTTTTTTACAACTCTAAACCAGAGGAGCTGCTCCAGGGACAGATAACAAACTAGATTAAATTCAAAGTAAAACTCCTAAAAGTCCTACAACAAGGCCACCAGATCTTCAGTGCCAGCTTCTTTCTTTTTTTTTTTTTTCCCTTCTGTAGTTTAATTCCTCTTACACTATACTCCTGACTAACAGCAGAGATTCCTGCTCTATTTCTATCCAGAGCTCCTTTCCAGCAGTGCACTATTTTGCTGGAAAACTTACTTTTCCATTCAGAGGAGAGCTTAGCTGTACAGAACAGCGCTTTTATGTGAGCTAATCCTTCTCCTTTAATGAATTAAGCTTGTTTCTACACCCTCCTTTTCAAATAAAGGGGATTTTTCACTTGCTGCAGCATCTTTCAGAGCAGCAGTGGTACAGGGGTAAGCAGGCCACCTTATGAGGATTAAATCTAGGCAGATGATAACAAGCATTCAGTCACTTGTTGTTAACAGTAGCATTAATTTCCCAAATGAAAAGAACCAAGATGAAATGGAGAGAAGGCGTTTGCTCCTGTGCAGGTGGTGGCATTGAGGTTCTGAAGCACTCGGGTTAGCAGCTGGTGTCAGGTGATGAGGTTAATGGAAAAGATGGAAAAGAATTTTGGTTTTCAGGTTATTTAATGAAAGTAACCCTGGAAGAGCTCAGCAGAGCCCTTGGGGTGGAATAAATTATTCCTCTTCTGCTTCCATCACTGCAGGTTAACCCAAGACACAGGAGAATCTGATCTAAACATGAACTCAACTGGGCAGAGCATCAGAGGAGGAGCATCAGTGCTGTTGTAATCCCTGCTGCCCCTCCAGTGACAGAACACAGCCCTTTAGCAAAGGCTTTGCATAGCCACAGCTTTAAAATTGATAGTTTATGATGCAGGTTATCAAAAAACACTGTGTGAGAAGACAACAAAAATATTTATCACAAGACAGGCAATTTTGGGCCAATTCATGGCCTTTGGGTCGGGAAGACACAGAAAAGAGTCTGCAGCAGCCCTGGTCCCACTGTCCCTGTTCTGTGTTGTGCTGGTTTACTTTGCTGCTCAGAAATAACTCCAGCTCCTGTGACTGCAGGCCTTGCACTGATCTGCTCCTCAGGATCCTCTGTGCCCCTGCACCACCATTTCCCTCTTTCTCCCTTAATTAAAAGTACTGTGAGCTGCCCAGGAGAACACACCTTCCCTACTGCTGCTCCAGTCCTCACGAGGCAGGGCTCTGGTTTGGGGGTGAGGGCTCGTGATCCGAGCCAGAACAAGGGATGAGAGATGACTTCATTCACCCCAAACCTTGGGAAAGCCATTCTGAGTGCCCCAGATCCATATTTAGAAAGCCTCTGGAGCAGACAGGATTAGCACTGTCCCCACCTGTAACATCACTCGTCGAGTGCCCATTTCATATTCTGAGCAACATGAATTCCTCATCTGTGTAAAGCTGAAAATCCTTTTCGCAGCCCTGGGTACAATAATTTCTATATAGAAAAACAAGATTTAACTTGACAGTAATAGAAATGATAGAGAGGAAAAGTGTTCTTCCTTTGAGGCACAGGCTCTGAATACAGCAGCCAGTCACTGATTGAAAAAGGGCAGGAAGAAAGATGAATTCAGTTATAGTCAAGCATCAGGTATTAAAAAAAAAAAGCTTCTAAGAAAGAGAAAAAAAGAAAATCCCACACCTTTCTCTTGACATTTAAGAAACTACCTAAACGATCTAAGCAAAAGGAAAGGAAGAGAGTGCAAGACCTTACATAGACAGCTGCTTTCAGCCATTTGTTACTGGATATCTTAAAATACATTTATCCAACCTTGCTAAAAGACACCAAGCCCTCCATGACCCACAGCAAATCCTCAGGACTGTTTTCTCTCCCTCCTGCCTCTGGGGACCAGCCTGCTTAGCAAAGCCTCTCCACACCTGTGTGTTTGCAGGTTGCCAGGGATTTAACTCCTCATGTGCCACTTCCAGGGGAGCAGATTTGTTCCCCAGAATGCCTGCAGCCACCCAGTGAGCCCTGCTCCTGTCAGTGAGCCTGCACCTCAGTGTGCTGAGCACCTTTGGGAGCGTGTTGTGTGTCATGAACAATCCCCGTCATGCTGTTACATGTAAGGATTTATTGATCAGCTTTGGCTCTTTAGTGCTCTACAGGCTCTTAACTCCCAGGAAACTGAGATTTCGAGGCTGGAGGTCTCATCACCAGCCTTAGGTGCATCCTACAGAGGGATTTCTTACCTCACGCTCCTCCATCACTGCTTGGCTCTTGGATTTAGGCAGGCTGAGGACTCTTTGGCAGTTGCCATTACGACTCTTTGGCATTAGTTCCTCCAAGACATCTCTGATATTTGACTGTTCCCCCAACCCAGCCGTGCCCCCTGGAGCAGCAGGATGTGCCAGGGCAGGAGTGGTGGGCGCGGGGAGAACAGAGTATTGGGTAGTGATTAACACAACAAAGAGAGCTGCCCGCCTGCAAATAGAAACACACTGGGTGCTTGCATGGAACAGCATTCCCATCTAATTTTACACTCTGCATATAGTAATAAGACACAACAGGGTGTGCATTAAGCTTATCTTCTGAGAAGTGCAGCAGTAGCTGGATAATGCACACCCTGGAGTGGCTTATTTGTAGTGGACTATGGATCATTAATTTTACATTTAATTTTTTTCAAATCTGTTAAAAAAAACCCTACATGTCTATTCTGTGGGCTGTTATGTAATGTATCCTTACACTGAAAAATATTTTGAAATAAAAACAGTAGGCAAAAGTGAAGAAGAGTTTTGCCCAACTGCAGATCAGAGTTTGGTGTGTGCAGGACCTGCTACGAGCAGGTTCTTTGTCTGCTGATGCAGATATAGAGTGCAAATAATGGTAGTTATGGAAATCTATTCAGTGTTCATTCTTTTCTAGGCTTTTCTTTCTTTTTGTGTAACTACCTTTTTTCTACCTTTTTTCCCCTCTAGTTTTTGGTTTTTTTTCCATTTGATGTATGAGCCAATACCCATTTCAGACCGAATCCACACGTTTGCATGGGGATAGGACTGACTTTTACACCAGACTGGGAAGAAGTGGTCAGGAGGCAGATTTGCAGGATCTGTTGGGGGAAATGGTTTTGCCAAAATAGCAGTGTGTGGATAAGGCTGCCTACAACACCATTTAAAGCACAGAGGGTGTCACAAAACCCGTTTTGTTATGGGTTTTGTGGAGTGACGTCACCCCAAAAGTATGAATGAAGAACTTCTAAATTCTGCTGCTCCACGTGAGATGTGACTTTTTCCCCTTGTGGTTTATCCCTCCATGCAGGTTCCAACCCTGATGATGGACACCCAGTTTTCAGAGTTCACTCCGGATATCACCCCCATCATGCTGGCGGCTCACACCAACAACTACGAGATCATCAAACTGCTTGTCCAAAGACGGGTGACGATCCCACGCCCACACCAGATCAGGTGCAACTGTGTGGAATGTGTCTCCAGCTCCGAGGTGGACAGCCTGAGGCATTCCAGGTCGAGGCTGAACATCTACAAAGCCTTAGCCAGCCCTTCGTTGATTGCCTTATCGAGCGAGGATCCCATCCTGACCGCCTTCCGCCTGGGCTGGGAGCTGAAGGAGCTGAGCAAGGTGGAAAATGAGTTCAAGGCTGAGTATGAGGAGCTTTCACAGCAGTGCAAGCGTTTTGCTAAGGACCTTTTGGATCAAGCACGGAGTTCCCGGGAGCTGGAGATCATTCTCAATCATAGGGATGATCAGAGCGAAGAGCTGGATCCCCAAAAATGTCATGATTTGGCAAAGCTAAAGGTAGCAATAAAGTATCACCAGAAAGAGGTAAGAGTCACCTAAATGTGAAGGTATTGGGTAAAGTAATTAATTTCTTGAGTTGCTGTGGGTTTGTTCAGTGCTGGCTCTCAGGTGGGATTTTTTGATGTACACAAACCAGGAGGCTCAGGGCACCTTGGTGGCAGCGTGAATCTGAGGACAGTTGAGGGCAACAGAACTGAGACTTGCTGCAGTGGGCTGTGGCTTCTACAGCACCAATAATTTCTGTCTCAAAGCTACTTAAATCCCACCTACTTATGCCCCTGCAAAGAACAGCCTTCACACACTTCCAGATCTGCTCGCTCTGAAAGCTTTTCCCAGTGGCTGCTTTTGTACATGAACCCAAAGCTAGAAGGGGTTGCCTGGCTCCTGAAGACCGGCTCCCTCATGGTGTGCAGGAAATGATGCAGCACACAATTCATTTCCTACAGCCACCAAGCACTTCCAAGCGCCCACTCAGCACTAACTCAAAAGGGCCAGAGATGTGACAGCAGCTAAAGAGAGCAGGAGAGGCTGGGAGCACTCCCAGAATCCCAGGTCTCCAAGTTACCATCAATCTTGTGAAAACACTTATGTGGTGCAACTATTTATTTACACCTGTGGCGTCTCTTGATCCTCAGTCCTTGACCCATCTCTGTTTTAGGAACTGAGAAGCAATTCCCAGAAATTCAAACTCCTGCCCAAAGTTCCAGAGAGGGAAGCCATACTTCAGCCAAAGGGCACAGAGCTTTTCAGATGCCCTGCAAGTCCACACATTTATCAGTTGATTCAATAAAGGCCACAAACCCCAGGAGAATGCTGACAGCAGTTTCATTAGTTGGCTCTGGACTTCCTTTCTCTTTCCAAATCCAGACAGAATTTAGGAGGTGATATATTGCTGTTGGCCAGTGATGTTCCAGGTTATCTGAAGGAGGAATTTAGTTGCTTGGTTGAGGAACTGAATTTCAATGTGCATTACATTCTTCTGTGTCTGGAGAGTGACCTGAGTAGCAGAAGATCCTGCCACATTCCTCTTTTCACCGTCTTCCCCACATCCAGCACTGACCCAGCGTGGTGTGATCCATTTCACCTCCCTGAAGGGCTGCACGTGTCATCCGAGGTGCAAACAGCCAAGAGATGAAAAATGCAGATTTCCTTTCACGTTGTACCCGCCAGTGCCAGCCCATCGATGCAATATGCTGGAGCCAAAGCCTCAAACTTCCTGGGATCCAGCACTTGGCAACTCTCTGCTCTTACTGGGCTGCTCTAGGGGAATGGCAGCTCTAGGTGTCATGTCAGGTTGTTTTTCGCTCTGTGACGGGGTTGGGTAACGCCACGAGTGCTCTAGGGATGTGGACAAGTAGTGAAGAGTTACTCCAGAGAAGGGCAGCCCAGGTAATCAGGTCAGTGTTCATTGAATCTAAGGAAGAGCAGGGGTTCTACTTCTGGTTTTCCACTGGCCTGGCCGGCCCAAGCTCTGCAGCCACAAGCTCCAGGTCACCCCAGCACTGCTGTGCAGGTCCCACTGTGTCACTGGAGACATCCAGGTGTAAATCTGTGCCTGCTCTTATCTTGTGTTCAGAAGCTGCAAGTCTGAAGCAGCTCACTGTGTTTGAAACGTGGTGCTGAACAGTCCTGAAGCTTTTTTTTTAAATTTAAATTTTTTAATCACTGTCTGCTTTCTTGACAGTTTTTATAGTTTTTTTTTTTAAGGCGTATTTGACTGAATTCCAAGCATATGGACAAATTCCATGTTTTGTGACATATTGATGACAGTTCCAGCCTAAAAATGATAGCAAATATGTTCTGTGTTGCCAGCTAAAGGCGGTGCTGTTTTCAGGTGGAATACTGGTGGGCAGGGGCAGAATGAATGAGGTTGGGAAAGCAGCTGCTGAACCCTACCATCCCACCTGGTTATTCACAAAATCCTGAAGCATCCTGCAGGGTGGCTGGGGTTTTCTTACCGTAATAATTAGGCCATCGTATCGTGGTAATTAGCACAGCACAAAACATCAAGCAAGATACAAACATCCTTGGCAGCTTCTGATAAGATGAGTAGGAACCTTTGCCAGGGAGACACTGAGAAGTGTTTTTTAATCCTGACTGAAGAGTATCAGACTGAGAGGATTTTTGTGGGGACAGGAAGGAAAATAGAAGCAAGTTTGGTTTTCATGAAAGACGGTTCTGCAGAGAAAAACAGCAGACTTTTAAAAGTAGATCATCATGTTCTGCTGAAGCTTTTTATGTCTTAACATTAAATGGGATTGGATTGGATTGGATTGGATGGAGAAGGTTTTTACACATTAACATTGACAAAGATAAAAGTTAAATCTCTGGTAGCCTAAGAGAAGAATCCAACATGGACTTTGTGTATTTTCTGGGGTGTCAATTGTTACTGCAGTTTTTAGTTCTTTATATTCAGCACAAAAAATGTGTAATTTCATATTGATTTCAGACAAATTTCCTGCAGCTTTTTTCTTTTTGAGTGAAATGAACCTGAAGATTGTTCCCCAAAATATGAAATGGTTCCATTTCATCTTAATCAGGCAGATAAGGTCAACTTGAAGATTCTTCTCAGAGATGCTGTCAAGGGGAAAAGGGTGAAGAGATCATGGGGTTTGTCTTACAAAGGCTAGAAAAATCTCCCATTATGTTTTGTTGGGGTTTTTTTCCCAAAAAAAAACCCCTTGGAAAGTACAAGTTTTGATTACTCCCGAACATGACAGGTGCAAAATATTGTATAAACTGAGAAACGTGTTGCTCATGAGGAAGAAGACTGTTCTTCTCTGGAGGAGGGCCAAAACAATGGAGAATAAATTTGTTACTTTTCCTGGTTGTTTTTAATAAGCCCGTAAATCCTAGAAGGTAAATTACTGTTTACACAGAAGGAGGAAAAAAAAAAAATCAATTACATAGGAAAGATTAAAATGTGCCCTAAGGCAGCTTTGTAGTATATTTTATGGTAGTAAATGGTAAAAACATGCTGTGCAATGTTCTCAAGCTCCTTCTCCCTTCTCATGTGTAGAATGGTTGTGTACTCAGTTTCAACTTACTGTGATAATTTCTCTAGGAGATGGGTAGGACTTAATAGTTGTGATATCTGTTTTCATGGCAGTCACAAAATCTGAGGAAAAAATGAGGACAGCACAAAACACTGTGGAACATGATGAGTTAGACCCAGCATGAACACATCAGTTCCCTCAGTCCACTGTTAAAGAAATCATTTTCCAAGGATCACAGTAATTAAGGACTAAGAGACCAGCAGGCTTTTCATAGACACTCTGTAGTGTGTGGCATTTGTCTTCATATTATTCCTTTTCTAGTTCTTTTATTCATGACTAATTTTGGAAGGAGAAAGGGTACCGAGGGCCTAATAGGAAAAGACACAGCTCAGCTGTTGTGGATCAGTCTTCACTGTGCTCTCCTGGCACCAAATTAGCTCTGCATTTGTTAATTTGTTTGCATTTCTAAGAAAAGATAGGGAAAAGTCATCTCTTAGGATCTTGCCAGTCTTGTAAAGCACAGTTGTGTATTCAGGGTATGTGGCTGGTTTAGGAAATCAGAGCAGAGGCAGCATGCAAAGAAAATTTTGATGTCCTTTAATTTTTTTTCCTTTGCCAATAATGTAAAACATCCATAGTGTAGCAGTGAGTCAGGTCTACAAGGGCAGATTTCTGCTCATATTTAACATTCTGCTGAGCCACAAGAACAGCAATACACATTCAGCTTATTCCTGCTTTCCTGCTCTCCATCACAGGTCATTCCCATCTCCAAAACGAAGTGAAACATCACACTAGTGGGGGTTTTAATGTGTTTCTCTGGTGCTGGCAAAGTGCTGGGCAGGTTTAGTTTATGTGTCTGTAAGAAGTCTACACAATGCAAGGCACTCAGAAAAAACCCATTATTTTATCTATGACTCTATTGCTTAGCACTTCCACAGAATTAGATCAAAGGAGAGCCAAGAGAAATTCCTTCTCAAAAACCCTTAACCTCCATATCTGTTCCTCACTCTGCTCTAATCAATGGCAGGAAAGGACAGAAGTAGAACTGTTTGCTTGTCTAATTTAAAAACAGTGCTCTTTGCCGTTTTTCTCTTCAGGATGAAGCTTCAACAGCTTCAGTCCCTTTTTTTATTTTTTTTTCCCAGGACATTTACATAGACAAGCACCTCCTGAGATGCAGTTCTGAAGTGAATGAATAATCATTCCTGCCATGCCGCATATTTTTCCGCTGTGTCTTGACTCTTGTCAACTGTGTGGCTGCAGTCAGAAGCACAGCATCCCTCTCCAGGGAGCATGCATAAACCTGGGAAATTTCTGAGGGCACTTCACTTAGTGTATAAAAAGAGCTTATAAAAATATCAGAGATGCATGAGGAATGAAGTGCGAGGTCTGTGAAAATCAAAGCTCCTCGCCCGCACCTTGTTTACCCGATTTGAAAGCCATTCAGGTATCTTGATGGATGGCCACAGATCTTTCTTTGCTTGCAGGCAAAGCTCAGTTATTCTCCTGTGGGTTTGTCTGTTTTCTTGCCATACTGCCTGGAGGAATAATGATTGAGGGCTGAATATTTGTATTGTGCTCTTTAAAGGCACAATGAAAAGTCTTGCTTGAGCCTGCACAGTAATAAAGAGGCTTTTACTTCCAGATTTCTAGAAGGAAATCAGGTTGTGAAAAGATCTTTATTAGGGACTAGTTGAGGGAAGAAGAGCTGCTCCCTGTGGAAGCTTTTCTTGGTTTCCAGTGATCTGGAACACTCATATTTCTTAGTGTGTTCCATGGTGAGGATGGCATGGTCTGTCCTGTGCCACAAGCCTGCACGTAAGTTTAGGGATTTCAAAAGCACTGAGTGGCCAAATGTGACCTTTCCTTTTCCAACAGCCATCCTTTCGTTTGTTCATTGTTGTCTGCAGCAGTTTCCATCTGGTGTATGAGCAGTGGCCTGTGCTAAATGAAGCTGTTTTCTCTCAAAGTCCATCCCAGCAGCACTTGACCACCTTGGAAAATCTTCTGTGAGCGTGGCACTAACTG